AGAATTGCATCAACTAAGAAGGGCATTATTATTGTTATTGTATTGTCAATTACAATTTCTAATCTCCAACTTAATTATTTACATCACACAATTAAAGTATTAGTTTTCAATTTATAGAAAAAAAAATAATCATTAGAATTTATAGAGTAGGAAAAAAAAGATCAAATACAGAAAAACAAAGGCAGTGCTTTCAGATGCAAATAGTGCACACAACTGTGCTATTAATGTTGATGGACAAAACAAAAGTACAGACATTTCTGTTTGCCCCTTTACCAATGCATTCTATCCTTCTCCTTGCCAAAGACAATACATATTGATAAAGTGGGATTATGAAAAATGTTTGAACTTTTGTTTTGACTTTTACTAGTTTTGTGCACTATTTGCATCTGGTAGCACTGTCCCAATTTTTCTATATTTCTTTCAGATATAACGTTTTTGTTTGAGCATTGATGTGTGTGAATTGCTATCTATACAGAGTTATAGGTTTTTTTTTAAATCATTGTTTGGGTATGGCAGAAACCTTTTTTGCATGTTGTATAAAAGAAACCTAAAATTATAAAAAAATATAAAATAATTATAATGGTCTATAAATCTATATAGGCTCAAGTTCACTGCATTTTTAAAGTGATGTCTTACATAGGTCTCAGTTGAAGATTTTTCTGCATACTTTGTGAAAAGCTTAACCAAAAATATTAAATCAATATGATAAAAAAAATAAAAATAAACCATTTATACAAAAAAATATTTTATATAAAATACAAGAAAAAGAAAAGAAAAAAGGAATATGCATTTTTAGCTTCCTTTCTATTTTACCCAAGAATGCAAAATAAATATTGGTATGAAATAGTTTTGTGCATGACCTTTATTTTCTATATTGCATTAGATAACATCATTTCTACAAAATATAAAAATAGGCATTCAGGTAAAAACACCATCACAAAGTACATTTCAAGATTAAGAATCATGGAAAATATATGCACATTTTAAAGCTTATAAAAATGTAATATATCATTAAGAGGTACACAAATATTTACATTAAAGGCATCTTTTGTATTTGTCTGCCAAATAGCCACATGACATCTGCTTAGAAGAGGAGGAGGAGAATAGCAGGTAAACAGAAAAAGAGTTGATGTACATGCGCACACGTTGTATTAGAGCAAGAAGAAAATAAAAGACAAAACAAACAGCGGAGGAGCCAAACTAAAGGTTAGCAGGGCCTCTGAAATATATTTCTAAAAGGACGCCGTGTGTTATGTTCTAGTACTGTTAATGCCTACAGAAACTCATGTATCACACAAGTTAAAATTGACTCACAGGAAAGAGCCTTCATCAGAGGGCCTGTCTCTGACGAAGGTGCATGTACACTGCACCGAAACGCGTGTCAGGCTCTTTTCTATGGGTCAATTTTAACTTGCACACACGGGCACTTCACTGAACTGTGTGATACACGTTTTTGTTAGGATTTAAGTTTTTCCTTTCAATTTTTTTTTCTTCTATGCCTATTTAGTAAGTTTCACAGGGAGAGAGGCTTTCTTTACTTTACTTTACTTGTCCTACTTTTAATTATTAGCGCTGCTAATCCTCTAGACAGTAACCTTTCTCCCTTTAGCATTTTTACCGGTGCTCAGCAATTAAGGGGAGATCTACTAACACCCTATGCATTAAAAGGCCACGACTAATTAAGCCTACATGTATATTGCAGATTTAGGTGTTTAGCACTTCATCTCCTCACTTACTTAGGCATGGGAGTTTGTTAGGATTTACATTTTTTCTTCTATACCTATCTAGTAAGTCTCACAAGGAGAGAGGCTTTCTTTATTTTATTTTACTTTATCCGTCCGTCTACTTTTGATTATTAGGGCTGCCAATCTTTTAGACAGTGACCTTTCTCCCTTTGGCACTTTTTCTGGTGCTTAGGTACTAAGTGGAGATTTACTAACACCCTATGCATTAAAGGGCCGGGACTAATAAAGCCTATATGAATATTGCAGGCTTAGGTGTTTAGTAACTTTATCTCCTCACTTACTTAGGCATGGGAGTAGCCTTGTAAGGCTAGTTCAGTATTTATTATTATTTGGAGTCAGTTTATTTTTGTGTTGATACTTTGTTACTTTAGATATTTAGTGGTCTCCCTCTGGTTACATTGTTCCATACCACTGGATGCTTTGGTGCCTATGTCTTTATCTCCAGTCAGCATTATATTCAGTTTGTGAATTTTTGCTTCTTTGTTTCTGTTGCTAGTATCTAGGTATAAGCCCCTGGGCATTGCTGGAGTGCCCTCCTGGTGTATGGGATCAGTGTGGAGGTGGTGTTTATTCCCTTTTACACCCATCTTCACATGGACCCCATTTCTTTCTATTTTTACTGTTAATGCCTACCCTTACAGGACCGTTATAGTCACTCAGACCACTTCAGCTCAATTAAGTGGTCTGGGTGCTAGGTTCCTCAGGTTTTAACCCTTCAGATGTAAACATAGCAGTTTCAGAGAAACTGCTATGTTTACATTGCAGGGTTAAACCAGCCTCCAGTGGCTGTCTTCCGGACAGCTGCTAGAGGCGCTTCCCCCACGCTGAATGCGACCATTGAGCACGCAGAACGTCCATAGGAAAGCATTGAGAAATTAGAAATGCTTTCCTATGGGCATTTTTAATGCGTGAGCGGCTCTGGCCGCGCATGCACATTCAGCTCCACTCGGGAGCTGACGTTGGAGGGGAAGGAGAGGTCACCGGCGCAGGAAAAAGATAGGTGGCCCTGATGGAGGAGGGGGGGGGACCTAAGGATTATATAGTGTCATGTAAAAAAACTATAGTGATCCTTTAAGACAAATACCTAGAGTTTTAAAGGGGAAACTCAGGACCCCTAAAGCACTATAGCTTGCAGAAAAACTTTACGTGTGAAGAGTGTGTCCTCTTTATCATTGTAAACAAAGTGCAGATTTCAATAGAAATTGTCACTTTTATAAATTAACCTTATTACATCCCCTGGCAACTGTCAGACAAACAATCTTGTTACTTCCTGGTAGTTTAGCTCAGCAGAGCTAAACTCAAGAGGCAGGTAAATGTCAAGATCACTTGCCTCGCAATGACTTCCCATACAGCTGCATTGATAAGTCTGTGATTGGTCAGCAAAATAATGTCTGGGCCGGGGAAGAAGATGGGGGGGGGGAAGGAGTGGCAACAAAACATATATGGGAAATGACTGTATATTCTAAAAAGAGAATATAAAACAAGAATAGTGTGATACAGTTTAGAGTGATATAAATGCGCTGTTATGGAGATGTAAAACATGCTCAAAGGGTGCCTCCCCCGATGGTGATAGGGGCTATTAACTCACGTCTCGATCCGAGTGTGGTGCTTGAAAGCAGGACTCCAGATGGACGGTAGATTAATTGCGGCTTTATTATAAATAAAATATGAACAATCACCTTAAAATATTGATTTTAAGGTCCCTGAGGAAGTCCGAAGTTTTTGGGCAAAACGCGTAGGACCGTACCTTTATTATATTGGTGATTGTTCACCTTTTGTTTATAATAATGCTGCAATTATTTTACCATCCATCTGGAGTCCTGTTTTCAAGCAACACACTTGGATTGAGATGTGGGTTAATAGCCCCCATCACTATTGGGAGAGTCACCCTTTGAGCGTGTTTTACATCTCCATCCTGTGAGTGCTTTGATTAACAGTGCATTTATATCAATCTAAATTGTATCACACTATTCTTGTTTTATGCTCTCTTTTTAGAATATACAGCCGTTTCCCATTTATGTTTTGTTGTTTCTATTCTGTACATAAATCTCAACTAGTAAAGGATTTGTGGGATTGTGGATGACTCTGCATGGTTTGAAAAACAAGAATAGCAAAAAAATGTCCACCGTTTTCAAAGCCATACAGTTTCCAACTAACAAATGCTCTTTCACAGTCACCTCTACTTCTAGAGATTTAAAGTTTTCCATGTGGACATCTCTCTGTTTGCATGCATGCAGAACTAATTAATCCTATTACTGAGCTAGGTTCCACGATCTTGTTCTCTTTGTGCATTCCACCATTGTACACTTGTAAGCCCTATGGCAAGGTAACTTTCACTCAATTATGTCTTACCACCATACAGGGGCGGACTGACCACTCGGGCATATCGGTCATGGACCGAGGCAGTCAGGGGCCCGGCAGCACAGCCTTGCTCCAGCTGGAGAGATCAGAGATCTCTCCAACTGGAACGGCAAAATTAAAAAAAATAAAACTATTTCATTTATAGGTTGTGGGGCCCCTGATGCAGCACGGGGCCCCACAACCTACCGCCCTGTAAATCACCCCCTATGAGACCTGGCAGCTTCAGCAGCTCTCTGCCAGGTCTCCTTCTCCCAGTCCCGCGGTGCTCTGTGTGATGGGAGAGGGACAGGAAGTGACATCACTTCCTGTTTACTCCTCTCACACAGAGCCCAGCGAGGGGAAGGAGCAGCAGCCAGGGAGAGCAGAGGAAGCACAGGTAGGCACTAATCACCCCCCTCCCCCGTCACTAGTCACCCCCCCCACTGTTACTAGTCACCCCCCTGTCACTAGTCAC